TCTTGTTACCCAGGCTGGAGTGCAATGGCGCGATCTCGGCTCACCGCAACCTCCGCCTCCTGGGTTCAGGCAATTCTCCTGCCTCAGCCTCCTGAGTAGCTGGGATTACAGGCACGTGCCACCATGCCCAGCTAATTTTTTGTATTTTTAATAGAGACGGGGTTTCACCATGTTGACCAGGATGGTCTCGATCTCTTGACCTCGTGATCCACCCGCCTCGGCCTCCCAAAGTGCTGGGATTACAGGCGTGAGCCACCGCGCCCGGCTTTTTTTTTTTTTTTTTTTAATTACAATTTTTTATAGAGATGGGGTCGCCCTATGTTGCCCAGATTGGTCTCAAAATCCTGGGCTGACATGATTCTCCTGCCTCACCCTCCCAAAGTGCTGGGATTACAGCTGTGAGTCACCACTCCTGACTTTTTCTATGTTTAGGTATGTTCAGATAAACAAATACTTACCATTGTGTTACACTTGCCTACATAACTGAGTACAGTAACATGCTGTAGCCTAGGAGCTACATAAAGCCGAGATGTATATAGTAGGCTATACCGTGTGTGTTTGTATAAGAAAACTGTTGTTCACACATCACCTAAAGAGGCATTTCTAAGAAGGTATCCCTGTTATTAAACGATACATTGCTGTATTTCAGTAACAGACAACAATAAAGAGTTAGCAAAGCACTAGTAATATTGATGAAGTGTTATTATTCTAAGAGTGCTATAGTTATACCATGGGATTAAAGCAAATAAAAAATTATGTTGAGAACCAGCAATTTGGGCATGGGAAAAAGAGGATACAGACAGATATAAGTATGATATTAAGTAAAAACGTTATAGTCCTGAACCTGAATTGCCAAGTGTATCAGTTAATTACTATGTACTTCATGTTTTTAAAAAAGGGGGAGGAAAAAGACATGTTTCTAGGTCTGTTCAGTGAAAAGACCTAAAAAGAATGACTAAGTTAGTAGCAACAAGAATCCTCGGTGCTCAGACTGTGGTCTCCAACATGCCCCAATTAAAGGAACCACAATTCCTTGGCAAAACAGCTAATTTTGAAGCTGGAGCATAAGATGTTTAAGATAAGGCAGGAACATGTTGTCACACCAAAAAGCAAGGAGGGTATCAGTGACTAGTTAGAGTCATTTCAAAACTACTCAGAGGTCACTTTGAATAGGTTTCCACTACACAAAGATAGGAAAATTTAAACATCAAGAAGGATAACAGGCCAGGTGTGGTGGATCACACCAGTAATCCCAGCACTTTGGGATGCCAAGGTGGGTGGGTCACCTGAGGTCAGGAGTTCAAGACCAGCCTGGCTAACAGGGTAAAACACTGTTGCTACTAAAAATACAAAAAATTAGCCAGGTGTGGTGGCTCATGCCTGTAATCCCGGCTACTTGGGAGGCTGAGGCAGGAGAATCGCTTGAAGCCTGGAGGTGGAGGTTGCAGTGGGCCAAGATCGCACCACTGCGCTCCAGCTTGGGCAACAGGAGCGAAACTCCATCTCCCCCCGCCCCCCAAAAAAAAAAATTTAAAAAAAGAAGGAAAACAACTGCAATAGATTGAAACACAGTACGTTTAAATCCATGGGTTCATGATAATATTCAAAAATAGAAATTCACAGGTCATCCCTGGAGAAAGTTAACTATCACCCCATAGGAGAAAGTTAATATAAATACATTTCTCTGAGAACCTTTCTTCAAATGCTATTCAAATCATGCCTCTCATCTCAATATGAATTCAACTGTTCTAATCGCAGCTGAAAGAGGAAAAAACTAATCCAATATCCTATATAAAGAAAAAAGCATCTGGCTGGGCACAGTGGCTATAATCCCAACACTTTGGGGGGCTGAGGCAGGAGCACTGCTTGAGGCTGGGAGTTCAAAACTAGCCTGAGAAACATAGCAAGACCCTGTCTCTACCAAAAAACATTTCTTTAATTAGCCATGCATGGTGGCACACACCTGTGGTCCTTTCTACTTCAGAGGCTAAGACGTGAGGATCACTTAAACTCCAGAGTTTGAGGGGTCACAGTGAGCTCTAACTGCCACTGTACTCCAGCCAGGGTGACATGGCGAGACCCTTACTCTAAGAAAAAATAAAGCATCAGGATAAAAAGGAAATAGTATTACCTGACTGAAAGTATGATGTAAAAAATGGCAATCTTAAAGCCCCCCACCAAGTCTTCATTTATGCATTCCAATTGATACATCTTTATAAATATATTTTGATGAAATAAAATGCACCTATGCAAAAATCAACAATGATTATGAGGCGTGCTCAGAGCCTAATGGTTTTTTAAATTGCCAACAGTTTAGGTACCATTAACTGTGGACTTTAAATGTTGCAAGTATATTACAGACAGAGCTAGCTTTGAAGTTTGCTTCCTAAGGAAAAACTATAAACCAAGGAGGTGTACCTCAGTATTCAACATCCTTAAAGAAGTTCCACTCTGGATTAAATGAGAACCCTAAAGCCACACTGAGGAAATATCTTTAAATTATATCCAGAAAAATCACATGTGCCAGAGTATATATCCCTTCATGCCTTTGATTTTTAAAATAGATGACTATTACAGCTGTGCCACATTTTCAATCTCTGGCTCTTTCTGATGCCTTGACCCAGTAACCATTACCATCCCACGCTTCTCTGAAATAATGCCTCAAAAATCATGGCTCTTCACTCAGTTTATATATTCTAACCCATCTATCCTTTTCTATGCTTTCCTTCCTAAGTATTTTCCCTATTATTCCTTATTGCTTCCTACCAAATGCTGAGGGAGTGGTCAACCTCCTACCACAGTGAGATCTGTTTCAGAACTACTTGGAAGTCCCAAAGCAAAAATCAGTCAAGATGATACTACCTCAAATGAATCCTCAAACTTTGGTTAAAGCCCAGAGGACTTCCAAGTGGTCCTACTCTACTCTATCTTACCTTATTCTTCCAAGTGGTCCTAACCTAGAATAAGTTAGGATTCAAGATTTAACCATGGCTTAACCAACATTAGCCCTCCTCCTGAAATAGTCTTCTAAAAGTTCTAAAAAAGTTAACCATTTCTCCCCTAATTTTTTTTTTTTTTTTTTTGAGACGTAGTCTTGCTCTGTCGCCAGGCTGGAGTGCAGTGGTGCGATCTCAGCTCACTGCAACCTCTGCCTCCTGGGTTCAAGTGATTCTCCTCCCTCAGCCCCCCCTCCACCCAGTAGCTAGGACTATAGGCGTGCGCTACCACGCCCAGCTAATTTTTGTATTTTTAGTAGAACAGAGTTTCACCATGTTGGTCAGGCTGGTCTCGACCTTATGATGCGCCCACCTTAGCCTCTCAAAGTGCTGGGATTACAGGCCCGAGCCATCGCGCCTAGACTCCCCTAAATTTTTCCAATGTTTTGGGCAGTCAATTGCCACAAACTAAGCCCATTTAAGAAAAAACAATTCAGCTGCCCTCCCTTCCCATTGTAACTTACATATGACATGAGATACAACATGTGGGAAGGGGCAGGCAGGACTATTCGAAAAAGTCTTAATGGTTTGTTAGAAGAGGCACCTTGAAATGATTTCTAATCACTACAATAATATACAGATATTGTCTAACCTGTATTTAGAGGATCCAAATCTTCTGTGAAATCATTGCAGGATAGAGTATAAATTGGATTGTACATCTGGGTCTGCAACTACATTCAAGAAAGTCAACTGCTTTGAAATGTTGCCACAATTACATTCCTAAATCAGAAAAATCACTAAGCAAATGGTATGCATAATACTGTTACTTTTCTCAAACCTCCGAGAGCATTTAATAAATGTTTGTTGGATGAACTGCCTTATTTCATGGACTATATGGTACCTCCTAAGCATTCTTTTTAACACCTCCCTAAAATTTGAAAGAAAAAAAAAAAAATCAGCCCAAAAACAACCTTAGAAAGTAACCAACATATACATATATTTCTATAGTGGTATCAGAGAGCCCTAACATCCAACCACACATCCTTCAGGGAAAATGCGTACAATCTGTATAGCACTTAACATTGATCGTACAAATACACTACACAAAAACAATCAAGAATTCTAAAATCCAAAAGCAGAAACGTTTCCAAAAAAAAAAAAAAGCCTCCACAAAGGCTGCCTGGGTTTAGGGAAAATGTAAATAGTAAACTGGAATAATGAATAAAGAAACTTCTAAATAAAGCTAATGAAAGTGGAGCAGCATTTATAAATGAAAGCTCATCAGGAGATGCTGAAAAGCACCCTCGTGGTTTCCCACCTGAAGCTATCAACTTGAAAAGCCTACAAAAATCAACAGAACTAGTTTCCAATCACAATGAATAAATTTACCACCATATCAAAGAGGAAGAAAGCAGACGAAGAGAGGGAAGAAAGGACTATGAAGAAATCTAGTGAAACTTTCTGACAGTCTAATTATGCCTCTAGCCAGCAGAAAAAAACTTCCCACTGCATTCCTGCTCAATGGTCCTCTGTTAGAATACCTTTCGTGCCTCTTCCTTAAGATGGTGCCCAAAATGGCCTTTCGGACCTTTCCAACCATCGCTGAAACCTAGACCAGCAGTGTCCAACAGGGCAGCCTCTAGCCATATGCAGCTATTGAGCATCTGAAATGTGTTCTGACCCCAGGGATCTGAATTATTCATTTTATTTAACTTTAATTAATTTAAATACCCACATGTGATAAGTGGCTACCATACTGAATAGTGCAACTTGAGAGTCAAAGTCCTGATATTTTATTACTGAAGGCACTTTTGCTGGGGGGGAAAAAAAAAATGTGCCTTTAAGACAGAAAGGTGGCTGATTCTGCCTTAGAGAGGCATGAACTCAAGAGAAAACAAACAACACAAACCTTTCTTCAAGGGCATCTCCAATTATCAGCCTACAAAGCTTCTAAATGCTAAAAGGTATAGCCTGAAACTGCCTGATTTATACTTTAGGGCAGATGAATTTGGGAGTCAGAAATAACTTTTATAATATGCAAGATAAATGTAAGTGACAAAAGAAGAGGATGGAAAAATAAACCTAGAAAGTTCAAAGATTTTGCTTAAACTTCTTTACAAATAAAAGCCATGACTCATCACAAGACCCAAATACCTCTCTCTACCTTGATAAAGGTGTCTCCTTCTTAAGTATACTCCTGCTTGTATCATTTCAATCCTAGCTAGATGCCATTTCATTTAACACTTTTGTTAGATAGGTCTCTGCTGGGCAGCACTTTCTAATAGCATTGTGACATATTACTAAGACTGTAAAGCAATGTGAGAGTAGGCACATAGTATTGCAGTTTAATGAATAACTATTAAAAATAAGTTGAAATAATGAAAAAATTTTTTGAAATATTTATTAAACTACATATATAACATTACTTTCCGAGAAAACCAAATCCACCAGATAATCATATTACAGTAAGTCCTCACTTAATATTGTTGATAGGTTTTTGAAAACTGCAACGTTAAGTGAAATAATATTTAACAAAACCAGGCTTTTTTCCCTCATCAATATTACAATAGAACAACACTGAAGGAAAGGATGTTATTCAAGGACCTGCTGTATGCCATTTCATTTAAAGTCAGTTTCCAAGAACCTACTGACAACATTGAGAACTTACGATATACTTTTGTAATTAAAATTTTGTTAGCTTATAATATCCTCTTAGAAACAAACCCATGAGATTAAATGTGAACTATTTAATAATGACAAGTTAATTTTCATAAATGGTAAGGGTTGATATTATTTTCCTATTTGAATAAAAGTAACTCAAGAATAAAAGATTCACATGAAATCAACAAATCTTCTCAGCATCACAGAATTCAATCCCACAATTTTATTTTCAGCTTAGTATACTACGACATTATTTCTTATAAACAAGCCCTTTCTACTAGAAAGATTTTTTAAGCCCAATTTCACTTAGTTAAAATTATTCCATAAATACTGAACATATGGAACGAGTTAAATAAAATATGCATCTCCAACCTAATATGGTATTAAAAGTTCATCTCCTGCAGCTCACATAACAAAACAAAACCTTAACCTACATCCTGAGTAAAGCACATTGCATAGAAAACAAAATCAAATACATTCACTCTTAATAACCAAAGTGATTCCTAAATATATGTAGTCCTTACTGACAACAGAACCACCAAAGAAATGACACAGCATTACAACATACATCATCATCTTTCTTCTGAAACTAAAAAATCCAAGTACAATCTCAGAAAGGGGAGAGTCATGCTCAAGGCAACTCCCTGACATGCTGCCATCTTCTTGGATGCTACTATGGCAATCAGATAGCTAGCCTAAAAAGAAAACAAAACTACTACTGTCAATTACAGTCTCAATACTAGCATCTAAAAAGTCTACCTGGAAGAAAAGCCACTTATAAATGAAGCATAAAGCCTATTGCTCCGAATTTGCATCGCTTGATGAACTTTTACAATTTAAACTCCATCTCCCACACTCTTCCAATAAGCCAAGGCTTCTTTCTCCACCAACTCCCTCTCACAGGGAGGGAGGAGGAAGGGAGTGGGAAGGAATGGGGAGACAAGGTGGCCAAGAAAGAGGAGGAGGGAAAACAAGAAGGAAGGAGGGATCTCCCAGGTACATAAAATCAAACCAGGAATTTTTACCTTTGAATTGCTTGCAAATCAAAGACAAAAGCAAGTATAGAGGGGCATATGTTTTGAAGTAAAAAATAATACTACTAAAATTATTTGCAAGTTTCTTCCAGAGTGCAAAAGCTCTTTTTTTTTTTTTTTTTTTTTTTTTTTTGAGATGGAGTTTTACTCTTGTTGCCTAGGGTAGAATGCAATCGCGCAATCTCAGCTCACTGTAACCTCCACCTCCCAATTCAAGCAATTCCCCTGCCTCAGCCTGACAAGTAGCTGAAATTATAAGCAAGTGCCGCCACGCCCAGCTAACTTTGTATTTTTAGTAGAGACAGGGTTTCACTATGTTGGTCAGGCTGGTCTCAAAATCCTGGCCGCAGGTGAACTCTCACTTCAGCCTCCCAAGGTGCTGGGATTACAGGCGTGAGCCACCACACCCAGCAAAAGCTTTTTTATTTTTACAACTTTGTAATTTATTCTCCCCAGTTCCTAAATCTGAGGCTTCTAATTTACCTACACATACTGATCACTACCAAATATGGAATCCTTTTATTTCCAGGGGTATAAACCGTATAGAGAATTATTGAGCTACCAGTTAGAAAAAGCTGAGAAATGCTTTCTGAAAGCTTTGCTCTTCAGCCCAGAATTTAAAGTTCATACCTAGCAAACACAGCGTTGCATCCACCTTGTATAGATTTCCCTGAAAACACAAACACACACACAAGCACCCCTTGAGAAAACTGTGAAGTATCTTTAAAAGTACAATTAAGTCACAACTACTCTGCCTATGGGGTAGCCCTGCTCTGTCTATGGTGCAGCCATTTTCCTGTACTCTGGGGCTCTAATAAATTTGCTTTGCTTTCACTTAAAAAAAAAAAAGCCGGGCACGGTGGCTCAAGCCTGTAATCCCAGCACTTTGGGAGGCAGAGGCGGGTGGATCACGAGGTCAAGAGATCGAGACCATCTTGGTCAACATGGTGAAACCCTGTCTCTACTAAAAATACAAAAAATTAGCTGGGCATGGTGGCACGTGCCTGTAATCCCAGCTACTCAGGAGGCTGAGGCAGGAGAATTGCCTGAACCCAGGAGGCGGAGGTTGCGGTGAGCCGAGATCGCGCCATTGCACTCCAGCCTGGGTAACAAGAGCGAAACTCCGTCTCAAAAAAAAAAAAAAAAAAAAAAAGTTACAGTAAATAAGTATAGGATTCCTTAGTAATATAAATAAATCCATTGGATGCAAAGTTCGAAAACTTTTCACTTTTTAATCAACAACTTGGGTTAAACAATAACTATAAAAGAGAATATTCCTCTACCTATATGTTACAGTCATGGTAACAGAAACTCTGAACTGCTTCTTGGACCATCTGACTCATCTTGTTATGCAGTAACTCAGTTACTGAAGTCAAGAGCCATTTAGTGAAACTGGAATTCTTTTCTAAGAAACTTTCTCTCTTCCCTTAGATGAAAAGAATTTAAAAGCTTCAGAACATCTATTTCAAAGATGTGAGGCTGAATCTGGTATTTTCAAAATATAAACCAAGAACCTAATCAAACACAAAATCAAAATTTCAACACTATATTTATATATTCATCCCAAATTTGGGTGAAATATATACAATACCAAAATTTCCTGCTATTCACCAGCAAAATTTAAGGAAAATATAATTTTTCACTAACAGCTTCTTTCTCTTAATCTCCTTTAAACAACTCAGACAGGAGTAAGAATGACAGCTCAAAATCACTTCACTCAACATGCTCAGAAGCAAAAAACAGTACAGTTCATACTGTAACTGAAAACCTTCTACCTATATGGCCAACAAATGTATTTGGTTAGTTCTGAACTATTTTATTGCAAAAAAAATTCTCAAACATAATAATTTTTGTTGCCTCACAGACACACACTTTTATTGGAGTGATAAACTAAATTCAGGCCACCCTATTTAAGAATGTAAGCCTATCAAGCTGGTCTCACATCACTACTACCAACTAATATATCCTAATGTTCAAGGCACCCTTAAATTTACAAATTATCAAAATCTGCATTAAAATTCCAATGAGTATCATTATATATGCATAAATTAAACTAACAGTAGGTTAATACCTTGTAAATGTTTCAATAAAGAGGTTTGTTATTTGGAGTTGGTAGTTTAAAATATCTTATTTTTGCTTTAGTTATTATCAATAATACAGCATAACATAGTATGATCTTTGTGCTTTTTTCACCCACAAATGAAGTAGTCTAAATGACAATCAATACTAACTCTAAGTGAACATTCCTTGTTTCCTTAAGTGACAAAGCCATATTACATCCTATTTTTCTCAGAAGTGTTGGAGAAATCTGTTACCACATATTCCATAGAACCTTCAAAGGCTTTGTCCATTGTCTAAGGAATTAAGCCAAAGAAGTCTGACACAATATGGTTCCTATCCATCCTTCCAGCATCAAACATCCTCTTAAACTGCCCCTCTTATAGCAGATATCCTATAAGCTCTGAACATGTGAAATTACTAAGATTCCAATTCAGTATCTCCTATTGTGCTAAAACATAAAAACCTGAAGTGCGGCCGGGCGTGGTGGCTCAAGCTTGTAATCCCAGCACTGTGGGAGGCCGAGGCGGGTGGATCACGAGGTCAAGAGATCGAGACCATCCTGGTCAACATGGTGAAACCCCGTCTCTACTAAAAATACAAAAAATTAGCTGGGCATGGTGGCGCGTGCCTGTAATCCCAGCGACTCAGGAGGCTGGGGCAGGAGAATGGCCTGAACCCGGGAGGCGGAGGTTGCGGTGAGCCGAGATCGCGCCATTGCACTCCAGCCTGGGTAACAAGAGCGAAACTCCGTCTCAAAAAAAAAAAAAAAAAAAACCTGAAGTGCTGGAATCCTATCTTCCTTACTTTTAGATCTATAATGCCTAGCACAGTATCTAGAAAAAAGCATGTTTAACAGCCAAAATTAATGCCAGCCCCTTTCCCTACACTGAAGTTGATTCATTTTAATACCAATAAATTAAAGCTCTCCTTTCACACAAAAGTTCAATATTTAAGGATCAAAACACCAGATGTGATTAAAAATACACAAAACACCAATTTAATGGTCCTCACTGCATCTTCCCAAGAATGATGGAACCACCTCTCAATACTCTCCTTACCATCAATATTTCTGCCCCCAATTTATGTAACATATTGCAGCCCAGATTAATCCTCCAAACTGTTCACCTAATTCTCTCCTCAAGACTCTCAAGAGATGCGCTAATGGTCTAATGAATGGTGGTAATGTATTAACCCAGTATTCAGGGTCCCCCATGATCTGATTTAAGCCACCTTTTCAAACTTTTTTCTTTCTCTTCTCTTTATTACAACTTCTCGACAGACAAGCTGAAATTCTAGCTATGACCTATACTTCTATGCGCCATCTCTGCCCTTGTAACTACACTTTTACTAAACTATCTTTCCTCTCTCCTGCCCCTAAAACCGGCATGTCCTAATTTACTCTCTGGAGCATGCACGCATGCATGCATGCATTCATTCATTCATTCATTCATTCAGAGATGGGGTCTCACCGTTTATTTGTTTGTTTGCTTGCTTGTTTGTTTGTTTGAGACAGGGTCTCACTGTGTTACCCAGGCTGGTCTCAAACTTCTGGGAGCAACTGATCCTCCTGCCTTGGCTGGGATTACAGGCATGAGCCACCACACCCAGCCTGAAGCATTATTTTTAATGCTACTTCTTCCATAAGACTTGCTTAATCCTGGTATGTATAGGTCACCTCTACTCTTTCCAGTTCCCAGAGGACTTTATCTATAGCTCTATCTATTACGGTGCCTACTACAAGTGTAGTACATCCTGTTTCTGATATTCATCACTCCTACTAGCATCTAAACTTCCAAGAATCAATGCTTGGCTCAAGAAAGAAGGGAAGAGAGATGCTTCTAGAAGAAAGCTATACAAAGGTCCAATAGCGGTTGGAAAAAGTAAAAGCCACGGTGCTGGCTGCTCCCAGAGAACACCAAGTTTAGTTTAAACACGTACTGACTGCTCGAGGAAAAACTGTAAAAGGTCACTGTACTGATCAATGTAAGAAGCATAAAGCCATGTGGGTTATTAAATCCACTTTCCTGTGTTCCATATTCACAAATATTCTATTCTATGTAGGGGATTCAGCTCCTCAAGAGAAATTTGGTGGTTTGAAAAATAGTTATTGTAGCAAAGACTAATATGATATTATTGTATATGATTTAACACTGAACATCTCCAACAAAGATGTATCTGACTAGCAAGCAAATCCCATATCAATGTATAAAATACTCCACAGTGATATATGGCAGCAAAGTTACTAAGGACGGAAAACTTTAAGGAAATATCTACTGTCGTCCTCAAGAAAGAAAAAGTTTTAACACTTTGCCGTTCTATTTTTTAATGTTCTGCTAAATACTCTGACATTTTTAATGCTTTGGTGATAATTTGGAAGTTTTTCCCTTTACTTTGCTAGAATATTAACTGAAGACCCCAACTCAATTGTGCTAGAATGTGTGCTCTCTCCTGTGACAGTGCCCTTTGCCTAAAAAAGACAGGCAGCGTGACACATGAGCATGACCAAGAGGGTGCCTGAGCACCCACCCACCCTGATGAAGATAACAACCTATGAGGGAATGAAACAGAAGCCCAATGTCAGCAAAGTCAAGTTTTTTATAAGCAACTATCTGGTGGTATTCAAGGGTGCAGCATGGCAAAACTTAATCTTGGGAAGCTGGCAGAGATAAACCACTAAGCACATTTTTTAAACTGTATTTCAGGTCTGCAAATTTGGCTATCTTGCGCCATAACTACATTCCTTTTAGTTTCAGACAAGATTAGTAAAGTCCTATCAGCCTCCTCCCACATCCACAAAAACAGTTCATGTCTAGCTCATCTATCATCTCAAAATGATGACATCTTACAAAGGTCAAAAAAATTGGCTAAACATTTTAAACTGGAGAAACAAACTGCTGATGTTGCAGCAGGAACAAAAACTTGAAAAAGGCAAAAACATGAACAGAGAAGTACTTCCCCTATCACAGCATTTATCATGCAGGATTGTACCTTCCTGCTTACTTATCTAACTGTCCCATTAAAGTATAAAGTCTGTGAGATGGAAGAGCTGAGTGACACAGTTCAACTGTGAATGCCCAATACCTAACACATTATCTGGTCCTTATTTGAAGTGCAGTAATATCTGATAATTGAATAAACAAAAACACACAGCAAGAGTAAAGAGAACCCACTAAAACCTCATAAGCATCCTCAGAATTATACCAAAATAAGGTACCTTAAATTCAAAATGCATTTTGAAAAAATTAAAAATGAGCAACTAGGGCCAGGCGCAGTGGCTCACGCCTGTAAACCCAGCACTTTGGGAGGCCGAGGTGGGTGGATCACAAGGTCAAGAGATCGAGACCATCCTGGTCAACATGGTGAAACCCCGACTCTACTAAAAATACAAAAAATCAGCCGGGCATGGTGGCGCGTGCCTGTAATCCCAGCTACTCAGGAGGCTGAGGCAGGAGAATTGCCTGAACCCAGGAGACGGAGGCTGCGGTGAGCCGAGATCAAGCCATTGCACTCCAGCCTGGGTAACAAGAGCGAAACTCCTTCTCAAAAAAGAAAAAAAAAAAAAAAAAAAATGAGGAACTAGTTACACACCTCAATCTCCTGGAAGTTAGTGACCACGTCTTTCCCAGCACAAACATAGTTGTCTAGCACTCAACACATGCTTGTTGGATTTAATTTTACACTTCCCCTCCTCCTCCAAGTGTAAGAGATTCAATAACATAGACATTCAATAGCATAACTATCTAATCAGCCCTTCTCTAATTAAACTTTAGTCATTTCCAAAACTATGTAATTTTTTTAACCCAGAGGCATTCAATGATCAAGTTTACTTCAAATAGTATTTTCTGCAAAAGCCAAAACACAGAATAAAAGATAATTAATAAAATGGGATTTTTATAGCTCTCCAGAATATCCAATAACCTTCAAATCTAATATTTAACACAATGGCAATTACTGCCCACTCCTTCTAAATAAAACAAAGTCAAGGTCAGTTTTTAACTCTGTTGAAAATAATGGACACTCAAAGATTCCTGCAATGCCAACAATTATGTCAACCAGCCAACATTTACAACAAAGGCATGCTTTTTATATCAAACATCTCTTTACCCTACCTCTGAAACTCACTTCAGTACTCTATGTACTTTTTGGCATTTTCCAGGAATTTGGTCTTCAGGAAAAAGTTTCATACTTAAAACACCAGCCTATTTTTTTTTTAACACTAACACCAAACTTTTGAGAAAAAAATAAAGAAGTTGTAAAAGGCTCTCTAATTTCAAATTTTCTTCCCCAAATAACCCAACACAAAATCTTTAATTTAATAGGAGGGCTTATCAGCATTAAGCAAAGCATTTAAGACAAGCAGTAAAATATTCTAGTGCTGGGTTATTTGTTTGTTTGAGACAGGGTCTTGCTCTGTTGCCCAGGCTAGAGCGCAGTGATGTAATCTCGGCTCACTGCAGCCTCTGTCTCCTGGTCTCAAGTGATCCTCAAGCCTCAGCCACCCAGCAACTGGAATTACAGGCATGTGTCACCACACTTGGCTAATTTTTTTTTTTTGTATTTTTTGTAGAGACATGATTTCACCATGTTGCTCAGGATGGTCTGAAACTCCTGACCCTCAAGTGATCTGCCCACCTCAGCCTCCCAAAGTGCTGGGATTATGGATGTGAGCCACCACGCCCAGCCTATCCCATAATTCTTACAAGTTAGAATAAAAAGTGTCAAGGTAAAAAAGCCAATTACATACATGATTCTAGTCAGCTCAAAAAAAAAAATTGGAAGCTAAATGTCAATAATAAAGAGATAAGCTTTTTAAACTTTCTTTTTCTGTACATAACTAGACTTATTTTTTAACTTAGTGAATTTTATGAACATCTAATCAAGCAAAGTGAAATAAGGAGGAAGATACTCATAAAGAACTAAATTTCAATTATATCATGTTATTAGTATATATTTTCCACATATTAAAATCTCTAACTAGCATACTGTTAAAGGTAAAGAAAGGCAGATGCCTATTTTCATCAGTATCCCAGTATTTTAACTAAAGCTAGATCAGTATTATCAATATAAAAATAAATTTATTTCTGAAGAAAATAAAGACATCTATATTCAATTCATTCATTTTATTAATCTAAGTGATTTTTAAGATTTCTTTACAAAGAGATGTAAATATAAAGATTAATTCATTGTTTATGTCCACAGTGTGGACAGTAAAATCCCTAGATAACCATCAAACCTAACTTTCAGAAGCAGTCATTATTGTATACATATTAATTTAAATGTAATTTAAAATATACAGAAATTCCAAACTAAATTATTTTGATAGTAAAACGTCAAAATTGAACTAAAGTCCTATTTAGAAAGTGTTCAAGCTTTTAATGCCAAAAGCCATTTTTAAAGAAGTTCTTACCAAATTAAGTTCAACTGCCAGTTTTTAAAATGGAATAGCAAAACTGTCTGTAACACTATGTATATTAATTAAAGCTGTAACAGACTAGCTTAAGCTGCTAGTGCCATTATAAACTAATCTTTTCAAAAAACATATATCAAGTAATTATGGCATCAATTAAAATGTGCATAAAATAATAATCTGAATTACTATTTCGATTAGTATTTATTTCTTCTAAACCCTATTGCCTTTTACTCAGAGATTTCCAAGAGAAAACTATTATTTATACAGCCAACTTCCAGATTCCTACTTTTCTTAGACCATCAAAACACACACACTGGATTTTAAAAGAAGCCATAGGGCAGACGTGGTGGCTCACACCTGTAATCCCAACACTACGGGAGGCCAAGGTGGGTGGATCACTTCAGGTCAGGAGTTCAAGAGCAGCCTGGCCAATACAGTGAAACCCAATCTCTACTAAAAATACAAAAATTTGCCAAGCATGGTGGTACATGCTTGTAATCCCAGTTACTTGGGAGGCAGGAGAATTGCTTGATCCTGGGAGCCGGAGGTTGCAGTGAGCAGAGATTGTGCCACTGCACTCCAGCCTGGGAAACAGCAAGACTCCATCTCAACAATAAAAGGGGGACCATAAACAAAAATTTTTTGCTTTGGTATACCTACAGTGGCAGAGGTTAAATTTTACATATGGTCTACTAACCTGAGAATTAATTAACCAAATAAGATACCAGGTAAAATTTTAGGCATAATACTTAGTCTTATGAAAACTACAAAGTTGGGGGAAAAAATGTGTGGTTCCGCCTTTTTAAGCAAAGCAATCTCAACTAACATGCTACTGAATTCAAACTTCAGTGATTACTCTGCAGTCCCTCTAGTGTTCAACTAAGTTAAATTAACAATCTCAATATGGTAAAAGCTGCCACTTATTTGATAACTACTATATCCTACACATTAAATAAAAATGAGTTTAATAACACAAAAGAAAGTATAAAAACAAATTAGCAGCCAGGAGTGGTGGCTTGTAATATCAACACTTTGGGAGGCTGCGGCAGGCAGATGGTATGAGCCTAGGAATTCAAGACCAGCCTGGGCAACACAGTGAAACTCCATCTCTATAAAAAAAATAAAACAACTGACCATGTGTGGTAGTGCATGCCTATAGTCCCAGCTACCCAGGAGGCTAAGGTGGGAGGATCACCTAAGCCGGGAAGTCCAGGCTGCAGTGAGCCGTGATGGCACGTACCTCTGTACTCCAGCCTGGGTAACAGGGTAAGACACTGTCTCAAAAAAAAAAAAAAAAATCAGTAGTATTGAATTTTTCCCTGTAAATCATTCAAGTTAAGATTCAGAAAGAAAGAATAAATCCAAAACTACTTTACACTGCAAAATTGATCATCAAGCACCTACCACAATGCCTAGTACATATGAACTAAACCATAAATATCTGATTATTTTTGTGGTTCCCAATTTTCAATATATAATTCTTTTGAAACTTCATTCATTTCCAGTTTGTTGGTACTACAAAATTAGGCACAAAAAGCACAAATAAAAATTATTCTACAAACAAAAAATCAAATGTGGAAAAGGAAATAGGTTCATCAATCATGCAGCATGAATCTGGAACAGTAATCTTTGTTAATCAAATACTTTTATTCTGTTTGTGATACGAATAACAAGTTTTAAAACTCTGATCAGGCCGGGCGCGGTGGCTCAAGCCTGTAATCCCAGCACTTTGGGAGGCCGAGGCGGGTGGATCACGAGGTCAAGAGATCGAGACCATCCTGGTCAACACGGTGAAACCCCGTCTCTACTAAAAATACAAAAAATTAGCTGGGCATGGTGGTGCGTGCCTGTAATCCCAGCTACTCAAGAGGTTGAGGCAGGAGAATTGCCTGAACCCGGGAGGCGGAGGTTGCGGTGAGCCAAGATCGCGCCATTGCACTCCAGCCTGGGTAACAAGAGTGAAACTCCGTCTCAAAAAAAAAAAAAAAAACTCTGATCAACTGATAATTCAGAGACAGCAAGCTGATTTTCAAGGGATTAGATCACAATCCCTATTTAAAATAATATGAAAAATAATTTTTTTATTCAACTCCCGATCAGAAGCAAGGGCACAAATATTATAATCATTCTTGCACAGCCAAAGGCAGAAAGCTGTCAGTTATAAAAAACCATATTTTAAAACATCCAATGCCTATATATAATTAAGATTATATTGACAATGCTAGGTAGAAAACAATTCAAATTTTATACAGGTAGAAAGTATGACCAAAACTATGAAAAGTAAAATTATACCCTTATTTAGCACCTAAAATCTTGAAGATTTAAATATTTTGACAGTAGAGTTCATTTAAAGATATGACTATAAAATGCAATTACACAACAGTTAAATCTGCTTTTCATATATTCTTCACGTTGCATCATAAAATAAAGATGTAATTTCCATAGTACAGACTAAAGACAAGCAAATTTAAATGTCTTGTCTACAATGATGTATGTCACAGGAAGTAGCATGGTATGAATGCTGCATTCCTTATTTTTACTTTCTACACTTAATCCTATGACCTCTACCTCTCCAAAGGTGAAGGATAACAAAAGAATGATAGATTTATTTCTTCCTGGCCTCTGTTCCATTTTGGACATGTGAGGGTGAATAGAGGGAGTAATCCAAAATCCATGACCTATACTGCCACCAAATGCCAGCTGAGCTAAGGTCACAAACAGAAAAAGAGAATGAGAGGAGGTTCCTGGCTAATGATAACAAGTACTCTTTGAGCATCTTCTGGGAAACATGGCAGCATTTCACGTGTTGCCAAACCAAAATTTCAACTAATAGAGGGAATGCAAGCAACCCCAGGTATGTGTGTGTGTTTGCAAGCATCGTTGGAGGAGATAGATCAACCTTGTTAATAATCTTTGAAAAATGCCACTTTCAAATCACACAATTTGCAAGTTACTAACTTGCTATCTTAAATATTTAGAAAGGAGATGTAACCCAAAGGCTATTTTGATAACAACTGAACAATACGTACACTGACACTTAAAGATTTCATTGAAAATGTTTGCCTAAATCATACAATCTCATTTTATCTTGTAGTCTGTTGCCATGACACTTAAAGAAACTAGTAATTAAATCAGGATTGCAGAGTGAAAGATAGAAAGCTCAATGAAAGCTACTGTCAGTTTGATTCTACAGTAAAACATTCAGGACTTTCTCAGAGAGAGCCTCAGCTAAGCAACATTACCTGTCATTGCCATGCAGCCAATATCAACTCTAGTGTTGGACTGGTAATTTATAACTTACGTAAGACAGTCACAATGTCATTCAACCCATGATATATTTATAAGTTAATGTATCTATAAGGATTCTGACAAATAAATATCATTAAGAACTATAACCCAATAAACAATATTCTTCCACAGCCATCTGTTCTATGAAACAATTACAAAATATGATTTTGGTCAAATGCTCAAACTACTTGCTATCTACAATACTAATAAAAATAATTCATGAAGAAGTATTCAATTTTAAATAAAACTTTTTCAATTTCCATATAAGAAATTCAACTAGAGACTATAAAATAAGATATTACAGGCCAGGCACAGTAGCTCACGCCTGTAATCCTGGCACTTTGGGAGGCTGAGGTGGGCGGATCACTGAGGTCAGGAGATCACCTGAGACTAGCCTGGCAACACGGTGAAACCCCATCTTTACTAAAAACACAAAATTAGCTGGACATGGCGGTGCATGTGTGTAGTCCCAGCTACTCAAGAGGCTGAGGCAGGAGAATCACCTGAACCCAGGAAGCAGAAGTTGCAGTGAGCCAAGATTGCACCTTTGCACTCAAGCCTGAGTGACAAGAGCGAAACTCCATCTCAAAAAAATAAAATAAAATAAAAAATAAGATACTGTAAAAAGAAAAAAACTGTATCAATGCTTTTTCAATATGCACTTTAAAAAGAACTCAATGCATCAAGAAAATATTTCAAATGTGGCCACATACTCTTAGTTAAAACGGTATAACAACATCACGTCGTCATGTTTTCCTATGTGTTACAGGATACCGGGAAGGCTTCCTAGCATGCGATGGTGGTAGACTGATAATCTTTACACAAACTTCTTTTACAGTCATTAAATCTGTTCATTGATTTATTCACCAAATATGTACTAGGCACCACTATCTCTTCTACTAGGTTCTCAGCTCCTGAAATGCAAAAATGTTTCTGATTCATTTTTGTATTCCGCATAACACCCAACATAATACAGGCTCAAATAAATGGTGGTAATTCGAAATATAAAAGATCATTTAACAACGGTAACACCTAACCTTTTAGGGTTTGTTGTTGGTTTGTTTTTGTTGTTGTTGTTGTTGTTGTTGTTGTTGTTGAGACAGGGTCTCAATCTATCACGCAGGCTGGAGTGCAGTGGCACAATTTTGGCTCACTGCAGCCTTGACCTAAGCCCAGCTGATCCTCCCACATCAGCCTCCCAAGTAGCTGGGACTACAGGCACACGCCACCATGTCCAGCTAATTTATTTATTTTTTTGTAGAGATGAGGCTTCACCATGTTGCCCAGGTCTCCAATACCTGAGTTCCTCCGGCCTCAAGCGGTCCTCCCACCTCAGCCTCCAAAAGTGCTGGGATTATAGGCATGAGCCACCAAGCCCAGCACACCTTACATTTATAAAGCTCAAAGAATGCTTTTAAAGCATCCTCTCACACATCATTGATTGTTATTACATAATGCTATGATTTTAAATGTGTGGGCAATTGAGCTGAATCAGTACTGATCCCAGGACATCCCATTAAAGTGTTTTTGCTATATGCTAGGTTAGCACATTTTCTGAACCATACTAGGAACCAAATAGATATCTGTGTATATTGGGACTAATCACTGATATTGCTATATTTAAGTCATTTAACCTTTTTTTTTTTTTTTTTTTTTTTTTTTTGTAAAATGATATGTGCTTACTGGGGATGAGGGGGTACTTTTAAATCTGTTTGAGGGCTCCAGCTGAGATCTAGTTAATAAAGCCTTTACCACAGCAATGAGGATAATTGCCCCCAGCCACCTTTGCTACTCAAATCAAGAGGCCCTCTTTGTTATACTCTTCATGAAACCAATAAATGGCATGACAAATGTTTCCATAATAGGAGTCAGTGTCAACAAATGCTATTTCCTCCCTAAACAATCAGAGTTGTATATAATTTGTCCAAGGATGCCAGGGCAGACACCCTTTTCATTATAAATATCTACTAGGCTACTTTTAAAATAAGTTAAAAATATGGTGCCTGAAATTTAACTGAGAGTATCTAAATTTTTCTCCTTTAGACTAAATATATTTTAAAGTAAATTTAAAATAGCAAACACCAAAACAACTTACATTTAAACAAGTTCAAAATTACCTGTGAAAAATAAAACAATCTATATGAAGAGACCTCATGTTGAATAGGTTCATACTTCCCTTATTCAAGCAGTCTTTCCACAAATAATTACTTATTTTCTTTTGTGTCAGAAAGTAAGCCTTCAAGACTGGCAAAAAGTCTTACCTCCCCCAAGTGCTAGCAAAGTCAAAAATAAAAGTAATTTTTAAAAAGGAAAATATTTTGCATACATTATATAAATATGAGAAAGACTAATAATGACATATTTATGAACACTCTAACCTTCCCTTTACATTGTATACATACAATCTTTTTCAACACACAGCCACTTCATCTTTATTTAATTTTTATCTCATTTTTTTTTTTTAATCAAGCCAGTTCTGCTGCATGATTAACTACAAACTGCAGGGTATTATTCCACCACAATACCCTGGCAACCAGCTCATATTCAGTTACACTATCAGCAGTACAAAAAAAAGAGAGAGAGGGAGAGACAGAACTAATTGTATGATCATGTGGATATTGTAGAAGCCCTTTAGTTCAATCCTAGATGGGCCTCAAGAGGATAATGCTTATTCTGTTGAACTCACTGCCAAATCCCAATATGAAAGTGCCAGGATCAAAACAAGACCCAATTATACAGAGTGCATTTTATCAGCTTCGGGTTTATAAGAAATAGGTATGTGGCCCTGTACTTGTGGAAAATTGTTCAAAAATATTTACATAGATGGAGCTTAAAGAAAATTATGGAACACTTACTAGCCATAATGATATTCTGTGAGAATCTCTTCAGGTAGCATCAGGACAGCCGCTCAGTCACGAAATGCTTAAAGCAACAGAATCCAATTTCACGATGCTCTAGTACTTAGAAGAGATTTCGGCCAGGAGCGGTGGCTCACATTTTCCATATAATCCCAGCACTTTGGGAGGCCAAGGCAGGCAGATTACTTGAGGTCAGGAGTTCAAGACCAGCCTGGGCAACATGGTGAAACCCCATCTTTACTAAAGGTACAAAAATTAGGTGGGTGTGGTGGCACATACCAGAATCCCAGCTACTCGGGAGGCTGAGGCAGGGGGATTGCCTGAACTCTGGAGGCGGAGGTTGCAGTGAGCTGAGATGGCACCACCACACTTCAGCCTGAGCGAAAGAGTGAGACTCCATCTCAGAAAGAAAAAGAAAGAAAAAAGAAAACAGATTTCTACACTGTCTGGATTTTTCAGGAGGAAAAAAATTTATGTGTTATTTCTACCATTAAGGTATTTTTTGAAGTATCTTAGCCCTAGCCGGGCGTGGTGACACGTGCCTGTAGTCCCAGCTACTCGGGAGGCTGAGGTGGAAGGA